CCTCGCCAGCTGTGCCAGCTGTTCCAGCCGTCTCGAGGTAGTTTTTCCGTCTCGTCGACCAAATCGTCTCTCGTTCCACGTCCACCGACCTCTCTCTCTCGTCGGCTTCTCGACAGGCGATCGAGACGGTTATCCATTCTAAAGTTATCTATTCCGAAGACGGTTTCCTATTGCAAACAAAGGTCATCTGTTTTCGAGGAGTTTATTGACACAAAGAGGATTTTCTATGGAGGTTGTTTAAAACACGTGCTGAATTTTTCACGAGATGAAGGAGCGTGAAATATAAGCAACACTGTGCCGATTATTTCCATGGATAGCAGACCGATAGATGGTCGACAAGATTTCCGATGTGTTTGAGGATCTCGTATCGGTTTATCGAAATTTTCTTGGGCAGCGTTCAGGTAGTGTCTCTAATTTTCCATGGTTTCTTATACCGCTTTCTTTAGTTCGTATTTCTTTGTTTCCTTTGTTATATCGTGATTGAGATTCTCTGTACCTTGTATATTGACGAAGTATGTAAACCTTTCCATCGCACGATACACCTGACAATATTATCCTGTGATTTCCATCACGAAGTTTATCTAACATTTTGGTTAACCGATCTTTTCGCTTCGTTTTATCGTTCAATAATCGATCTTTCCATTTGGTTTGATTCCGTTGTTTGTCCTTGTAACGACTCGAATTAATTTGCTTGATCGTGTCAATATTAGCCGAGATCCTGCGGTTTTCAAGGACGAGTTTGTTTGTTTGTTTGCTTTTTTTTCTTTTTTAACGATCCATCTTTCCGTTCGGTTTCATCATTCCAGAATGACTTTATCTTGCAATAATTGATTTTTCGGTCTGTGATCTGATTATCATCGTTATTACGGTAATGATTGAAATATATGATTATTTCGTTTACTCGTATATAATAAAATATTGCTTTTGTGCAGGCACGTTTAATGGACTCGTCCTGTGCGGCTGTCCTTGTTACGTTTCTGCCCCATTTGGGTTGTCCTGATTCATAGATAATCGAATCACGACGCTCTCTGCTCTAACTTTCTTTACCCGTTTCCCGCATGGCCTAATAATTTCTCTGATAGCGTTTCCCTCGAAGAACGTCAAACGGCCTTGCCTTCTCGTTTTTATAGCCACTAATCAACCTTGAATTTCATCGGCCAACTTGTTCATCTTTCATCTTTTGCTTCCAGCCTGTTGAGAATGTTGTTCATCCAAGACTTTATTACATGGTCCGATAGTATGTATAAAATAGACTCTGCATCTAATAACGTATCTTTGACTTTAAATAATAATTCAGCTTTACATAATCTGCTCTCTGATGAACCTTCTGTCCACACGACCAACTTCTTTCCATATTCCATTTTTCTTTCCACTCTGTTGATTCTTCCAATCGTCGTTAATCCAGAATTTTGATTTTAATTAGCAATTTCGTATCGAACAATCTAATCCATTTTCCATCAAATTTCTATTTGATCGAAGAATATTTCCCCTTTAGATATACGTTTTCTTTTTCTAGCCTATCGATGACGTTATCGATCCGAGACTTTGTTTTTTTCACCTACGAAAGTAGATTACGTATCTGACAGTGTGTCATCTTGGATTTAGATAATAATTTTAAATAATCTGATCTGATCGACATGGCGACTGACCAAAGACCTTCTCTACTTTCAGTTCCAGCTTGCTGCGAGTCTTATTAATCGAACGCTTTGTTACGTGATACGAAAGTAAATTTTTCTTATCAGATGCATCTTTAGTTCTAAATAATGATTATTTGTACGTGCAATCTATCCGATCGATTTATCTGAATTTCGTTGCCTTCCAATTCTGTCACTCTTTAATCCTATAGATTTTTTCCACCCTGTATAGAGATCTCTAACAGATAAGATTTATGCTTCGGTTCGCATGGCTTCTAGCGATTGTTTCCATCGACGTTTCCAAATAAATTTTCCCGCGATCCTGCGCTCCAGAGAAATTGGTGACCTCGTACGATTTAACCGCGCATCGATCCCATCCCTACCCTAACCAGTCGTCCCTCCTTTTGCCAAACTATTTTCAAATTCCGCATTTCAGTTTCTTGAAAACCCTCCGTCGATGTCTTCTCTTCTGGCCGGCGAAGATAATATCGTTAACAGCTTCCTGCATTGATCCTTCTTAGGGTGAATGTTTATTAGACGTTGGATATTTTCTTCGATCCTTTTTTTGTCCTTTTTTTTTTTTACAAATCATCCATATACCGTAGAATGTAAAATTCGAATAAAGACAAAAGAACGTGGATCAAAGAAAAGAAAACTGCAAGATCGAAATTGCAGCATTAAATTTATTAAATGAAACTCTAGTTAATTAAGATAATTTTACTAATTGTTAGCAAAATTTGATAAGATACCAATAGTAAATTCCATAGATTGCAAGCCATTTGTAATAATAATTATCTTACTCGATGTAATTCTAACTAACGCAACAGAATGGTAGAATTATAAAAAAAAAAAGAACGAGCAAACAAGTATCATAGCTGACGCGTTCTTTTTGTTATATGGTTATTTATAAAGAAATTTAAATATCATTTGCCGTTATCCCAGGCGACTGCGATTATCTCGCGCTATCGAGCACAAATATATCGTCCATTTCATTTATTTATGCAGAACGAAATGCAAATAATCGTTTAGGGCATATCGCTTATAAATATCTCACCAGATAAGCGTATAAACGCGATCTCACGCTGTTTACTTGTGTAAGAAAAAAGGGAAGAAAGTAAGAGGAGAGATGAAAATATATCTATGCATTTTCAATAATTTCCCAGCTAATTGATAAAGTGTGTCGGACAATCGACGAATATATATTTGTAGCTATTTCTAACTATTTATAAAAAGAGATCTCCGACAAGAGGAACAGCAATATAATAATAGGAAGGGCGGCAAGGAATTTTTAGTT